TGCTTAAAACAAACAGCGAACAGGGAACGTCACGTGATGGACGGTCCAGAAACTCCAGGAGAAACAACAATTGAGTTGACGGTCGCTCGGGCGGTCGGTCGGTCGGCTTGATATGTAAATCATATAGCCAGATGTGTACAACATTTCCAGGGAGGAGCCCCACATCCTGATAAATCATCATATGCAACGCGTGGAAGGAGTCTGGCTGCGTGCAAATGTAGGGAAATATGGCACAAAATTTTCAAAAATAATTAATGATTTAGGATTTTTCATCTATCAATTTCTCAAGTGAAAGCCCATATCCTGAGGCGAACTATAATATGTTCAAAAAAACTTATGGGTCTGTCATTTACCTTTCAAACAATTGCTTTGGAAGATAGCCATGCTTTTAAATTCATTCGTGTTATAGAACGTTGCATATTCACTAAACCTCTGTTTTATATTAAAAAAATAGCAGAACAATGAACCATCCAGAGATCAATGTAAGTAGCAAGTTTAGATAGAAAATAAACGCAAAATTAAGTTCGTCTTAAAGCAAAATCCAAGGCCCACATCGGGACCAATGGAGGGAGCCCAGAAGGAGAGCCCGAAGGCCAACATTTTCCTGTGCACAGTCGCGGCACTCAACGAGCAGGTCGTCACAGCGATTTTCTCGGATAGGCTTTGCATGATGGCCCTGGGCACGAGCGACTCCGTGATCTACATGTTCGAGCTAAATTTGATTGTTTCCCGGTCGAATGGGTCGGAGGTGGACCACGTGGCGATGGATCCCTCCAACTCGGATGATCAGTTCACGCTGCGGGGGCTGGAAGGGCCACTCTATGACGGCGCATTTTGTCAAAAATGTAAATATTTCGTCAGCTGTGCGGTGGACTTCACCGTGCGGCTGTGGTGTCTCAGCTCCCGATGCATCCTGTTCAACTATATGGGCCACTCGTGGCCCATCCGCAGCGTGGTGTTCACAGCAAATGGCCTTTTTGCCACCGCTTCGTACAGTGGCATTGTGACAATCAGCAAAATGGACAGCATCAGTCCTTACCGCCAGTTCTCTGCGGCCAAAAACGAACCCCTTACGGCCTGCCTGCTCCATCCTGCTGCATACGCGTATTACTGTATTGTTGGTTGCCTCAACGGCGCCATTCGCATTTGGGACTATGCTGGTCAGTGTTTCGAGTGGCGAGTCTTCCGCGGCCACAAGTCGGCTGTCACCGTCTTGGCTCTCTCAAACTGCACTTTCTACCTAGTCTCGGGTGACGCCAGCCACATAACCCTGGTCTGGGACGTTAGATCTCAGTGGGTGATCCGCTCCCTGGGCGAACACTTGGGACCCATACGCTCGATCGACTTTTCCCTTGACAATAACCTGCTGGTGATTGGGGCCGGGGATAAGTATCGGCAGCTGAGCATCTGGGACTTTAAGGGTCTCAAGCAGGCTGAGCCCCAGAGGAAGGCGTGCAATGTTAGCCCTTTAAGCAATGAGCATCTGCTGGTATTCTCGCATGTCAACGTGGCGGCACCCATCGCCAAGATCCGCTTCATCACCTACGATATCCTGATGGGTGTTTGCGTAGATACCCCACATGTCCCTTGGCGGAATCGGTCACAGATAAGCTGGATTGACAGGAAATGCGAAATGAATGCCTTTCTCAATCAAAAGATAGCGAATTAAATTGTAAACTATTGTTAGTAAATTGATATTTAAAGGAAATAAGTTATTTTCACAGAATTATCCGACCTGAAAGGCATAGTGGAATGAGAAGCCATACACTATATGTTTCCAAGTATCTGAGATGACTCGTTATTGGTGCAGACACTACCAATGGCTTACTAGAACACTAGAACGGCTGACACAGCAGTTCATATCGATCAAGAGCTCATGGCAAACCATCTGTAAGTCACTAGATGGTCACTAGTCTAAGCAAGTTCAACCGAGCTCAACTCGGGCTCCGTACAACGCCTGGCTCTGCAGTTACTCGAGCCATCCCGGGCACACACCACTCCAGAGTGTCAATCACTGGAAATGACTTCTGCAGGAGCTGTCGGGACGAAGAAGACGAGGTGTCGGTTCCTTACTTCTTCTGTTCAAGACTTCGACGTCTCCGAAACCAGACCAGGCTTGTTGTAGAAGCCGAAGGTGTGGTCGGTCTTTAAGCTTTAATAGGCAGAAAGAAGGTCCCACACAAGGCCCAAGTGAGCGCGGGGGAGCTATATCTCCATCTCTCCAGTGACTGCCTAAGCGATATTATACAAGGCTATCTATAATGATGTCTGACTGTTATGTCTATCTACATGATGTCTCTACAAAAACTGTTAGGAAGTCATTGTTCTTGAACCTTCAACACATGTCTTTGGTGCAACAACTTCTCCCGTCTGTACATGTCCTTCGAAACATGACGCGTCAGACAAGAATTATGTATTATGTATTTCATGCTCTGTAAAGAGCAACTTTGGAACTATCTATTGTCATCATGTTCAGATTCTAAAGAATCTATGGAACAATATTCTGAGCATTTATGCGCTTTAACTCTCGGTGTCTACTAGCTGTTCTGTCTGGTCATACAGTGGATGTACAGTAACCGCCATGGACAGAACACCTAATTTCCCAGTAAGGACCACTTTCCTTTGAATCTTTTGCCAGTCTTTGTTTTCGCTGCAGAGGAAATTTAGCATTTCGGTCGGGATAGAATCCCGTGGCTCATCCTCATGCCGGCTGGCAGTGCTTCTTGGTTACTTTAAAATGCACAAAACCCTGTCCAGCAGCTGGTCCTTTATGGTCCTGTTGCCGTTCCCCCCGCACTCCTCAGCTGGCTGCAGCCGCAATCCCGAAATCCAAAATCCAAAATCCAACGCTTTATGTTTGTGCTAACGTGTGCAAAATCTGATGGTTGGCACTAACTTGCGGATTTAGGTGTTGAAAATTATGTGTAAAATGTGTCACAGTTAAGCTCCGCCGTGTTCCGTGCCCCGGCCCGGAGAGAAAAGGCGTGGCCGCACTACGTGGCGAGTGCTAAATGTCGCCCAAGGCCAGGCCATGCCACTGCTTTCAGCAGCTCCTCTTAGCCCATCCCAGCCCGGGGTAGGGTTCCCCTACGCATCCAGCACCGACACGGAGGTGGGGCAGGTCACATTTTCGACTCGTAGTTTTCAGCGCTGCCATCCGTTGCATATGCAGATGAGCGGGAGCCCTCTAAAGTCTGGAGCTGGAGCTGTATATGGGAATGAGGATGGGGATGGTTATGAGGACGGTCTGAGTCTGAGTCTGGAACAGGCATCGGTTGATAGGGGGAAGCGTGTGCATTATACAAATGAGTTTATGCAATTTTCGACTAAACTTGAACTTTGGAACATTTTTGGCCAACTTCATGCGGAAACTTTCGTCTCAGATTTAAGCGTTTGGCAAAACTAAAACTCAAATTCTGATTCATTAAATCACAATTTCTAATCTCTGAAAAGTTATTCAATCATTGCCTAAGTCCAGACTTTGAAGACGAAAGTTGGATTGAGTTTAATATTAGATTTGAATAAACTTTAAGTCATATTGTTAAATATTGTTCAAGAACAAATCTCTTTGGAAGCTCTTTTTTCATCCTCCATCTTCCATCTCCCTGCTTCAGTTTCATTTTGCTATTTTTAATTTCATATATCCATCAAAGGCATTTATGACCGACCCGTAACCCTTGGGTGCGTGTGTGTCATTAGTCAGCCCACATATTGCCACTCCATCACCATCTCGTGCTCAGGCTGGTGCTCGTCCCCAGCCCCAGCCTCAAGACCTGCATGACACTCAAATTTGATCCAGCCGCATCGAAGCTAGGCTGCAGCTCCTGCTTTGACCCGATGGCTTCCTGTGCTTCTTCTTAATTAAAATATTTATTAAGCACTTTTGGTGCAGGCAACAAATTAATACCAAAGACCCCAATCATGCTGCAGCGTGTAGCATGCGGCATACAGTATATACATACGAGTATATGGTGCGGCAGAGAGGCAGACAGGCAGACAGGAGGCCAGCAGCACCAGCAACAATTTATAAAACAATGTTGAGGACACTGGAGTAGCAGCCAGCCCGCATCAAGGGTATATTTTTTCAGGACCTCTCCTCGTTTATTCTGCCATGCAACAGCAGCGTCAACATTGCAGTTCCAGGCTGCCAACTTGGCCAACTAGGCATAAGGCGACACGGACACCATGGAGCTGCTAACAATCCAGCGCCAGCCGGATGAACAGCTTGCCGCTTAGGCCATTCGAAATATGCAGCTGCTGCTGCTGTCCCATCCTTTCGGTAGTCGGTAGTGGGCATGGAAGTATGGAAGTATGGCAGGGGTGCGGTTCCCTTCAGCCGCTGGCTATAAAAGGGTTTCCACTGTGACAGCAAAGTCTGGTGTGCAATAACTAAAATATTTATGCGGCCAGGCTCTGGCAACATCCAACGCCTGGCATCAGCCTGACATAGCTCTCTGCCATTGCTTCCTGCTCGTCAAAAGTTTGACGGGTGTGAGGGAGGCGCAGGCGGGGGCGGAGGCCCTGGGAAAGTCATACAAATTCAATGAAAAATTGAAAAACTATTAAAATTGTAAATGTAAGCAAATCAAAAGTTTTAGTCAACTATTTGAAATTGCAAATGAAATAAACACTGGGGACTACAACCGGGGAGCACTTTAAACTGAATTTATTTATTAATTTGAGGAATTTGTTTAATTCTGAGTGAATGAAATGTTTGAATTGAAATTCTATTTGTATAGAAATAATTGCTGGTAATGGGAAATATGCTCAATGGTACTTGTGGCGAAATTTATTCATTGCCGGAATACATGGGAAATTCAAAAGAATGGTTATCATTATTTAAAGATTTAAAGTCTAAAAACTCTGGGAATTTCGCTATTTCTATGCTTCATATGTAACATCTATATCTATCTAGTGTCCAGAGCCATACAGGTCATCAAAATTTGAAGTCTTCAATATGATCATTTTGTGGTTTCTCTTATACTGCTACTTGTGCCTTTGTTGTTACGTTTATATGATCGAAATGTTTAACTGGTATGACGAAGTCGACCTACTCAATGTGGTTGATCTGATGGTGAGCACAATAGTCTATGTATTAGCAAAAGAGATATATTTTACTTGCCTGTCCCACTGTTATGCAGGGTAATTACCTTTGAAAGACAGGAAAAACAGGCACCGAGCACCGCATCTTGGCCTGGTAGCGGCCTTCTTCAGTGTTGGGCCACCAGATTTCGTCCTTTTTCAACCAATGGTCTATATCTGTAAGGAGTAGGAACACGAGCCATGTGAAAGATTCCCGAAATCAGTGCCTTTGATGTAGAAGGCCCCACGGATGATCGGGAATACTGTTTCAATTGCGCTTTGATTCGTTTGTTAGATCCACATTAAAATTGTAAGTTTTCTGGAAACTTACATTTTTGTGGAGTGTTTTTCTAGGACGACTAAGATCGTTCATATTGTAAAGAATTTTCCAGATCAAGTAGCCCGAGAATTGGGATGGCCAGGTTTGCTGTGGCCTGTGACTAACCTTTGAAGTAGGTCCCACAGAATAACTTCCATATGGTTTTTATAGAACATTTTCAGAAGCCACGGAGCAGGACAATGCAGGAGCGCAGTAGCATGCCGGATATGAAGCAACCTGTGGAGTAGAAAATAAATAATGAGTAAGACGATGCAGACGATAAATATTAAATGAAAAGACTATGAAAAAATTCGCATAAATTGTATGCAAAAATCATTTAGAAATGTTTAATTCGCAAACACCCGTTTTTTTGAGAGCCATAGTCCGAAGTTAAGCGCATTAAAGATAATTGAAATTTATATTATGTAAATTGCCAGCAGCGCGAAAAGTAAAAGTGGAAAATGGGTGCAAAAACTGTTTTGCCAAGAATACAAAAAAAAGGAAAGCAAAAAATATAAAACAATAAACAAATTAAGTGCGTGACCCTCACAGAATATCTCGTATTTCTACAGTTTTTTCTCATCATAATTGTGATAATTGTTTTCCAATCGATGGAGCAGAAACGCAACGCACGCCATTCAATCAGAAAGTCGGCCCATTTCCTCCCAATCCACACCACCCAATCCATCAGCCGTCCCCGGTCTGGTGTTTCTTTTGCTCATTTCACATAAATAAACGCATGCAGGAACGAGACCGTTGATGGCCATTTGAAAAGCTGCAGCTGGACTTGGTCTTCAAATGAAAATTAACACCCACGGACACTGCATAATGGAAATGGTTTTTGGAAAAAGAAAATGGCAACTCAATCGGTCAATAAATAAATTAGTTTTTAGCTAAATTCATGCATTAAAATGGTGATTATTGGCAGTCTCCTGACATTTGCTCATAATTGGTTTTCAGTATTTTTGATGTCGAATCATTTGAATTTAAATTGAAGACTACCGCCCGGCTCTGTATTATTCATGACGCTTCATTACGTTCACGTATACATTCATGCGTATATATTACGTATACGTAGTGTATACGAGCTTTAAAATTGATTACGAAATGGATATCCGGCTGGAAAATCATTTCCGGGATTTTAGATAACAAAATTATTTTTATATTGTGCGAGCATTTAATTTAAATAACTTTATGAGCGCCTGAATTGGTTTATATTCGAGGAAGTATTGGTTATTGCGAAGCACCAGTGAATGACCTCGAAAGTTCTTCAGGACCTTCATGGCTCTGGTCATAAAGGGAGCTGGCTCTGCTAATCGCTCCACTGCCAGAAACAGTCGAGTTGGGGCCAAAAACTGGGGCGGTGCACCGCCCATGGTACTACAGAGGATTGGCAGCTGTTTGGATGGCTGGCTGGCTGGATGGCAAGGCAATTGAAATGGCCTACCGACCTGGACTGCCAAACACACAGAGACAGAGCTGCATACAGAGCAGAGCTAGAGAAACCACAGAGCCCCTACACGGTAATTATCTAACAAGATTACGCAAAATGTGCCTCCCCAGAGCCGGGAACGGAAACAACGACAGCCGTTGCAGCCGTTGCATCTGCAACAGAGGAAAAGGCATCCCTCCAACAACGGCTGATGACAGTGGGGCAGAATGCAAAATGTTGTTAAGTCGCTGCCAAAACGCTCCGTTGCACAAGTGGACTGTGTTCGCTCCACCCGGAATGGTGGTTATGGGCGGTGGTGCATGGCTGGAGGAGGCGTCGGATTACGGCTCTTAATCCTGTGAATTTCTCGCTTTTACAACTGGCTTAAAGTGAAAGTGTGTCAAACTCAGGTGTCCTTGCATCTGCTGATGAATGCCGGTCACAGGCGGATGCTTGCCAGGGGAGAGATACGGAAATCATTCGCATTCCCCTCCGCATGGAGGATGCAGGATGGGAACCGAGGTAAGCATCTGTTTGGATCTTTTTTTTGGATCACGTTTAGTTAAAGTCGAGGCAGTGCTTTTCCGGTTCTTAAAAGCCGTCAAGCTAAGTTATTCATCATTCATTTCAGTCGCTGCATATTCCCAGCTCTGGGATGTATTTTATTTTAATCTCGCGCTGACTTTTTAAAGATTTAACACATGCTCGCTTTTCATATTTGTTGTTTTCCTTGGCCGAATGCAATTTTTATGCACTTCAGATGCACGTGAGCGTGTACTCCACAAAGAGTTCAGTTCAGAGAATTCTGCATGCTGAACTCGATATTTTATGTATATCGGTGGTGTGTTTTTTTAGCCCTGCAAAGGTCTGCTTTCCCCCTCCCCCCTGTCTGTCTGTCTGTCTGCGTGGGTGGACGAGTGTGCAGTGTCTGTGTGCCGAGGAAAACGCGCATCAAATGCAAATTTGTCCCATTCTTTGTTCGTAGTTTTTTGTCCCTTCGATGCTGTGTTGGTTCTGTTCAGTCGCTTGTTTACCCCGTGTCTGCATGTCTGGGTCTGGGGATTATCTCTACATATAAGTATTCCTCCATGGGGCTGCTGTACCTGTGTTCCGTACAGATTATACATATATTTATATACTGGCACTTGTATATATTTATAATATTTATATTACCCCAAAGGCAAACAAGTGCAAATGGTTTGCTCTACTATCTGTCGGGGACATAAATGCATTTTGTAAATTTATATTTTATTACTCGGTTGGTCCTCGGTTTGTTTTATAAGGTATTAGGGGTATATGTATCCAGTATGGGGCTTGTGGGTATTGTAGAAAGAACTTATGATGATGATTGCTTTAGGCTACTGGCTGAATCAACATTATATTCAACTTCCCAGATGGCTTGCCCTCTCAAAGTCGAAGAGGCTAAGTATCCCTTAGTCGACTTTGTGATTACACCCACAATAAAGTGCTAATATTGGCACGATCAGCATTGGGTTTTCCCATTTGGTTTTTGTGTGGCTGCTTTTTCGGGGGGTTTAAGGAATGGCAATAGAATTCGGAAATGTTTTTGTGCTATATTTTTGCGGCCACGATTTGCGGTGGCTGTGCAAATGTTTTGTTATCTGACGACGCTTTTAATTGATTTTCCATGTGCGGTCGGACGGGGGCTTGTAATGTTTTTAATGAACTGCAATTAATTTCAGCTCAGGGATTGAAAATCTGGCAACATTAACATGCCGCAAAATCGATTTCTACCCAAAATAAAGGCGTCAGAGGAAAAGGATACGACTGAAGGTAATCTTTCGGGGAAACCAAGTCAAGGCTAAGCCCTGGAATGGCCTGGGGGACGGGGAGATGGCGAACCACATCAAAATCAAGTCAAAACCTAGACAAACACACTTGTTGGCTTATCATGTTACCCATGTTAAGCGTATTAATGGCAGCGATGACGACAACACCGAATGGGACAAGGCAAGGACAAGGAGCACAAGGACAAGGATGACTATGTGCCACATCTCTGGATGTTGATCTTCAGGCTCCAAAGGCCAACAACAATAAAAGGGCGACAGGGCGTCAGCCAGTGCGGCAAACAAACAAGCAAACGGGCCAAGTTAACAAAACGAAAAGAAGGAAAAGTAAAATATTAATAGCCAGCTACTAAAATAGCAAAAGCAGAGATCCAAACACAAAGAATCAGCATTCAGCATTCAGCATCGGGGTCGTGCCGCAGACGCACGAGTTTTCACTGCCTTGAAGGAGGGACCGCCAAGGAGCAGCAGGAGGAACAGGAACAGAGCTGGGTAAGCCACTTGCTGGGGTCCTGGCTTAGTCAGAACTTGGTATGCACCCAACCATGATGCCATCCACCCCACTGTCCCCCTCTTTCTCTGTGTTGGGGTGCGTGTGTGTGCGTTTGGGGGTGTACGAGTACCAGTATCTGTGTGGGGCTTAACCTCAAAATTGTGTGCGGATGCCTGTTAATGTGTCATCTTCGTGGCTGCGTGTCTATGCGCTATACGAGTACGAGTATGTGGGTTCTGTGCACGCAATTTATGCGTCACCGGGAGTTGAACAGAACGCTGGTCGGGGCCCGAGTGAAATGTCTACGTTTAATGGAGAGTGTGGGCGGTGGTAAGGGACAAGCTGGGAGTATTTTGAAGTACTGAATGCATAATGGCTATCCAAGATTATCCAAGATGTATGTTTATGAACCGAAGATACAGGTTTTCCAAAGAATCTACTCTTCTGGGAGGAAGCATTCTTCGAAATTCTTTGACTGATGGATGATCATAACAAGTCAAGAATCATATGGATAATTCCTGCTAAAATACAATGTTTTATTGTGGCCCGTTTCCAACTCTTCTTTTATGCAACTTTTACGCAGCTTCTGCCCGGCTTTTCCCAAACATTTGCGAAAACTTGTCCGCCGCTTTTATGGTGGCCGCTTTTGTTGGCCGTTTTAAATATGTATGGGAATAAATTGCTATTCATTGGCAACACCAGCGCTAAGCCGTAGGGCGTGGCCATTTGTCATGTTAAACGCTAAACACGGCCGGACGCCAACAACAGCCGTACAGCCGTACAGCCGTGCACCCGTATGGGTATACGTATATTGACATATTGCCGGGCTTTAGTTTCCTGCTTTTGATACGACGACTGGCCGCCAAGCGACCGCGCCATAAAAATAATCAACATAAATTCTGAAGAGGCCATCGCCTGACGGGCCGGGGCGGGGGATTGGTGTGGGATCTGAGGAGGGGGAAAACAATAACAATAAAAATAATAAAGCAAAACAATGCCGGAATATTTATGGGCACTACGAGCCCCAAACAAAAAACAAAGCAGCATGGAACGAAAAAAACGAGAAAGATTGCCCCCGCTCTGGCTTTCTAAATATACTTTTGTCTGCGTCTGGCAGAGTAAGCAAATCAACGGACCAGCCAAATGCTGCACTGGGAATAGGCATCAACGCAAACACACACCCACACACACACCCACACACAGATGCAAACACAAACACGAACACCCTGACAGATACAGAAAGCACACACACACACACACGCGCGCACGGCCCTACAGGAGCCCCTCACACATGCACACATGCACACATGCACACGCGTCGTTAGCGCTAATGCCTGGTTACCAGGCAACAACTGTTCGTCGTTGGTCCAGAATAGAGAGGAACGCGGTATCAGGGCTTTAGAGGCAGGGACCTACGGCCTATAAAGGGGCAGAGTGGCCTTCAAATGTGCTTCATTAAGGATAAGTCCAGGCCGAGTCTATCTGATTTCGGATTGTAAATAAA